GAGCAAGGACTCTAAAGTAATGTGTGTTTCACGGGGAAACTGAACAATCAAGCCACTGCAAAAGCAGTTTTGAAACCTAATTAAAAAATTAAATATTAAAAGCAGACATTTGTCTAAAGCAAATATTAAAGTTGACCAAAACATGTTTTTGGTGAGGATCATCTCAAGGCAACAATGGGGGAGTAGCAACCCTATACAGTTGACCCTTGAACAGCAGAAGTTTGAACTGCCTGGGTCCACTCATACACGGATTTCTATCAATAACTGTGTGTTACAGAACTACATGATCCCAGGTTGAATCTGTGAATGTGGAACAGTGGATACTTAGGGTTGACTGTAAAGTTAAAAGCGAATTTTTTACTATGCAGGGGTGGGTGCCACGAACCTCTGAGTTGTCAAGAGTCAACTGTATTTGGTAATTTCCTCAAGGTCACACAGACAGGGATTCAAAACCAGGTGGTTCTGGAGCCAAAGCCCGTGCCCTTAACAACTAGGGTAGATTGGAGTGAAAGAACTGGTCCTGACTCTTCACTTTCTGTGCTGTAACTTTGTAGATCTAGCCCCCAGGACAGGTGCACTCTGCTGCCCCACTGATGTGCGTTTGACCACGTGACTTGTGGTTGGTGATCACAATGCAAGCAGAGGTCTTAAAAGAGTATGAGTATGGTCTTAGATATACAGTCAGCCCTCTTTATCCACAGGCTCCACATCCAAGGATTTAACTAACCAAGAATGGAAAACACTACAAATTTTTTTTGAAAAAGTCCAGAAAGTTCTAAAAAGCAAAACTTTGATCTGTGTGAGCTGGCTACTATTTACATAGTATTTACATGGTATTTACCACTATTTACATAGTGTTTGCCTTGTATTAGGTATTATAAGAAATCTAGAGGTGATTTAAAATGTACAGGAGGAAGTGTGTAGGTTGCATGCAAATACCATTCCATTTTATATAAAGAACTTGAACATCCGTGGACTTTGGTGTCTGTAGAGGGGGTCCTAGAAACCAATACCCCCTGCTTGCCAAGAAACCACTGTACTTAAGTGGGTAGGTGAGGTTTGCCTTGGCTGGGGTGTAATAGCTGCGAGATAAGAATTTCCCAGGAAACCACTGACCCCTTCAACCTAGGTCCCAGCACAAACACTTGTGGAACAGACCTGAACTTGACCTGAAGCCTGGAGGCAAGTCCTGCAGTGGACAACTTGGATATCTGAGCCTGGAGTCCAGCCAAGCCTAGCAGGGTTGTAGTCCAACTGTGGATCACACGGAGAAAAAAACAAACAAACAAATTAACAAACAACACAAACTTCTTATTTTAAGTCACTAGGTTTGGAAATAACTTCTGTAAATGTAGGGTTACTGCAACCAGTGCAGCCACTATGTTCTCTAAGTATGGTCCTTAGACACCTGCATCCAGATCACCTCAGTGCTTCTTAAAACAGTGAAGATTCCAGGAAAACGACCATTTATGTACACTGATGAAGTGGTTTGATGGGACAGTTCAGCAGTAAATGTTAAACTTAGGAATATATTAAAATTAATAGCGGAGCAATTCCACCTCCAGATATTTCTCCAAGAGAAGTCCTTGCTGATGTCCACCAAAAACGTGTAAGGGTGATGGCTGTGACACTGAAAATCTGGAAATGACTATCCACCCACAAAAAAACAGGCAGATGAATGATGTTATTTTCATTCTGTAGAATCCTATTAAATACTATTTGTTAAAAAGAAGAAAGTAAATCTAAATGGAGAGTTCTCTCAGACGGAATGAATACTCAGTGAAAAGTCAAGGTGCCAAATGGTCTGTGCAGACTGATTTCATTCATGCAAAGAAAAGGCCCCGTCTGTGTAAACGTGCTCCAGGAGGATTATAGGGATACAAACCAAGATGGCAAGTGATGACCTGTAGGAAGGTATGGTGTTGGGAAGAGGTGGGGGGCTTTGCTTTACGTGAATGTTTATTGTTTTTATGCTGAGAGAAGAAGGTACACATGTATTACTTGTGTCATCAAAAAGAAAACTTTTATGTATTTTAAAAAATGTACATTTCTGGGTCTTGCCTCCAGATCAGAAGAGTCTAGGAATCTGCATTTAATTGAATCTTGTTCTCTCTGCTGCCCGAGTCAGCAGCGAGCTCGCAAGGAAGCAGCCAGCCAGGGTCAGAGCTGCTAACCTGACTCAGCAGAGCCAAAGACAGACTGTTAGCTGAGGTGGAGGACAATCTTACCTGAGGGATTCTCAGTTTTAAGAGAGCCAAATGCAGCACAAAGCTCTAGAATCATTCAGCTTCTGGAGAAGGTCCCGGTTAGTTGCTAGAATCCCCTCTGCTCATCATTCTCCATCCCACCTGGTCCCAGCCCACCTCTGGAGGAGCCTATTTGAATCTCTGAAGAGTACGGGAAGATGCTTAAGACAGTTACATTTATCAAAAGAGGGCCTAAGGAGTGAGGCAGGGCATCCTTCACAGTCCAGGGACAGGACCCTGTAGGCCATCCTACTTGGAGACACTCTCGTTATGGAAAGGACAAGGCTGGGGCAGGGTAAAGCCCATAGGAGTTTTCAG